GTTGTGGATATGTCTTTACACAATGCGTGCATTTTCAACTGTTCTTTAAATAAGTTCATTAAAGAAAATAAACAAACAAAATAAGTTTTTAATCCGCCCGCCAAAATGATAACAAACCGAAATATTTATCCTGTTCAAAGTCTTATTTTCACTTTCCTGTGGTGAGCAGATTGCATCTAATACGCAGCAGATACCTAGAATCGCATATTTTATATTTTTTCAAAAGACTGTATTCGGCAAACGGAGAGGCAACCGGAACAATCAATTCCAAAATTGAAGTAAAAGACCGGACACCACTACTGGCCGAAAAGGGACCGGACCCAGACTTTTACTGGTCGATAAGGAACTTTGAAGTCCCTGGTCGAAAAGGAATTCTCCCATTTCCTTTTGCATGCAGGCACAACGTAACGTCATAAGCTTTTTTTTGGTGTATCAAAGATAGCCCCCCCCCCCCGCGCGCTCATATACAGGGAGAGTGCCTACCTACTAAGCTCATAATAATTATAATTAATAAATGCCAAAAAACGTCAGTTTCTAAAACTACAGCTGAACTATTCCCATTCTAGATCTAAAGCAGGTTTTTTTTGTGATTTTACTAATAAAATGGCATACTGGCTTCGAACTCGAGTTCAAACTATTTGCTTTTGAAAATGTGATTCTCCTCTATAGGAATTTTCTCCAAAATACCCACAATTTCCAACTAGCGCACAGCCATAGATCTAATTAAAAAAAAAAATTAAGGACTAATTTTGAAAAAGTAACGTCTGGATTATTTAACTTTGTACCTGTATTGTGTATAAGTTAATTAATACTAGGCTTACCCATCTTTAAAAAGCAGTGCCATTGCTAAGTTGTTCAAAAATGCTTGTAGCGTTTACTTTATGACCTTATGCAGTTACTGTTAGTAGCAGGCACCGTAGAATTTTTACCAAACAATCTGAAAAATGATTTAGAAATGACATAGCTTTTGAGCGCCACGCATCGGATCAATCATTTCCATTTTATAAGTCCATGAATCTGTTTATAAATCGAGGAACAGAAAGAGTTTAGGCCTAGATCTATGCTTGAAATACGGAGCGGTTTTAAAAATAAGAGTTTTATTTTTATCAATTTTGAAAACCCCACTTAGATCAAGATCTTCATTGTCCAAGGTAGACCTGGAAAGAGAAGTAAGAGGTTACCTTTTTGCTGAATGGAATACGTAGGCTTTTGCAGTGTCGATAAAGCGTCTGAAGTCTGAATGATCAAACGATTATGTCTAGAGCGTTTGTGGCTGTATATCTCTTTTATAGGCCTACACATCGATTGGACCGAAGCCGCCACCTCACTATGACTGGACCTCTTTCACGTGACATGAACAGGGATCACGAAACTAAAAAGTGTTAATTCGGTACAGCCAGCGAATTCTGAGTTGCAGTGGTAAGAACTATTCGATATTGACCCTCGATACAGATACTTATGTCGAGTACAGGCGGTTGAAAATCACTAGAATTCTCAAAGTGACGAAATATTATAAAAATGATAATAATAATAGGCTATTAATAATAGTAATAATA